GCAGTCATGGCAAATGTCCCTGTTCAACTCCAGCTGAGAAAGGCCCAGAAGTCTGCGTGGGGCAGGGTGGCTGAGTCTGACCTGTCTATCCCCCGTGAGTGAAGCGCTCTCTCTTCTACTTTTCTGGGAAGCCCATAGGTTTCCCCCAGGGGCTTAGCACAGACCGCCCTTTGCTGGTCAGAGGAACCAGGTAGCTATTCTCTCACAGCAACACAAACAAGCTTGCCCTTTCCGCTCCGCCTTTCTCCGGAGGAGAAAGACCACTCTCTGCTGACAATGTGCCATTTTCTGTTCAATTCATCATGTTTACTTCTTTATTGTGATTCATGTCTGAGTTTCTTTTGAATCAAATTATTGCATCTCCCTGGTGAGAGGTGCCATATGACTATCTAGTTAGAACAAAATCAAATAAAAAATCTGCACTGAGCTCTGCTCCATCTCATCCCCACCGCACGGTCTGCTCTTGTTTGGACACACTTCTGTCAGCTGCTTGATCAGTAATGAATCCTTCTGTGTTTAGGCCAATTTTGAGACACCACTGTCTTGAAAACAATAAAGAAGAATTGGTTGAAACCTGTTCAGCAGAGAGAACATCACTACTTCAAAAATATTTTACAACGTAAATGACTGGCATTTCCTGATATACACAGATTGAAGAAGACCTGAAAGGCCGATGTGACGATTACACAGTCACAGCAACTATGAGAGCCATTCTTTAGATTTATCCCCAAAGATGCTTCAGTACTGAAGTAATTCACTGCTTCAACAAGTCTTGAAGCCAAGCATTCCACAGGATTTTTGAATACCAGGAACTTTTAAAGAAAACACACATTCCCTTTCTCCTTCACTTTTTTGGGGTACTACCTTTTAAGCAATTGCCTGTATGCCTCATACAAATAATATTTTAAAACTGAGCTGTTCAGACTAAATGCTCTCCATTCAAGTACACGAATGAGACTCGGGCTATTTGAGTCTTTCTTCTCTTTTACTGCTTCTATAATGACGTCCAAACCTCTCAGTGTGACACAGGAGGTGCTTTTGGTGATGGGAGCCCTGACCACCCTCATCCATCCACAGAGCAGCCCTCCTGGGACTCAGGCATATAGCTCTCCTGCCATTTCCCCAGAGAACCCCATTCTCCTGCTTTTGGGTCTACCTGGACTGCTACCCTCTTTCACCTTCTCCTGGTCAACTCCCACTCATCTTCCAGGAGAGAAGTCATCCTTGCTCTTGGCTGGCTCAGGTGACCCCACTGGCCTTCAGAGTATGTTTGCGCATCTCTCTTAGAGGGTGCAGGGTTTGACTGGACAAACTGCAGTCATTACCCAACTGCCTTTTCCTGCCCTGTCAGCCTCCCCGTCAGGCACAGGGAGGAGCAGCTCTCCTGTGTATACCTGGTGCCACGTGCAGCATATGATTGGTAAAACTGAACTCTTCCCCAAATCCTACCTTGCCGAAGACACCAATGCAGCAACCAATAACTTGTCAGGAGGATTATGCAGTCTAGAGCTATAGTATTCCTCAGGACTCTCCAACTTACATAGGGAAATACTATTACAGCAATAATACATGACAGCATATATTTTTAAAAATTTATTTTCTCAGTTCTTAAACTCTTAATCCATACAGTCTAGTCTATCTGTTTGTAAGTTACTTGTTAACGGGAATTTCTGATGATATATGGTACATGGTAAGAAAATTATCCAGTCCTGGAGATGAAGCAAAAGTCTAACCCCTGTCCTAACATGTGGCTCACTCTGTCCTCAGACTGCTATGCACAAGAGATGAGAGTTTTACTGAAACCTCAGCATAACAAAGTTTCCCTATAAAGAACATGGTGTGAACTTCTGCTCTTGGATCTTATTATACGTTAGTATTTTTTTTCTTCTACTAGCTAACACTTCAAATGAACACTTACTATATGCCAGATATAATTTCAGCACCTACATTAAAATGATTTACTCCTCACAACAACCTTTTGAGATTGACACCATCATTATTTTATTTATAGATTTGGAAACTGAGGCCCAGAGAGGTTAGATGACTTGCCCAAGGTCACACACCTAAGCAGCAGAGCTGGGTTTGAATGCAGGCAGTGTGGTGCCAGAGCCTGTGTTCCAAACCACAGCTTCTCAGTATCTGTTGGGTGGGATGGCCTCTCTGAGTAGCACAGAGACTCCCACTACACCAGTTAGCACTCAACACTCTTGACTCTGGGCATGTGTTAATGAAAAGGATGCAGACTTTACAGCATGACGGAAAGAGGTCTGTTTTGTTAGAGGTCTTAACACTAAATGAATTTCAAAAAAATAACTGTTTAAGGATTTGCCAGATTCTCATGAGAGTAACACCTCCCTGGGGTTAGAGAAAGTGGGACATATGAGGACCTGCAGTCTGGGACCTTCCACTCCACCACCAGTTCCCAGAAGCCTGGCGGTGCCTCCATCAAGACCAGTTCCCAGAAGCCTGGCAGTGCCTCCATCAAGACCAGAGCATGTCACTCCATGACACACGCTTCTTAGGGGCGTCCCCTTCTCCCTGCAGCCATGGCACAGGCACATCTGCCCACCATCACCACTCCTCACTTCCCTGTCATCTGCCCCACTAGACGACAACATCAGCATCCCTCTAGGAGGGCGGCACGAGGGGCACAGCACTCAGTGACGGGATTACTCTTAACAGAACTGCTCGTTTCATACTCCTCCCAATAGTTCCCTCCCATTTGTTCCTGATTTCATCTCTAGTATATGTGTTTTGTTCATTATTTCCTTTCCTTCTTTTTTCTTATATTAATAATGGCTTTAGGGTTTAAAAGTATTCACTTTTTAGCAGTCCTCTCTGATCACAGAATAGCTAAAATGAGAAAAGTTCTCTACAAAGTAGTTAATGAATACAACATTTTATTTTGGCAACTAAATTAGTTGTCAGTCATAATATGGTTAAAATTAGTATGCAGTATTTCAGTTTATACTTATAAATCATATTTATTCAGAAGATCTGAATGGGAAACATTTTCTACATCTTTCAAATATGCACTGTCTATAGCATGTTATAGGAAGTAGGTATTTTTAAACAGTTCATGAAAAATTGGGTTCAGGTTATTTCATGAATTGTTATTTGAGCCTAAAACTAATCTCTTTGACATTAACATCTTTAATAAACATTTCAGCAATATCTGCAGCATTCAGAATATGGGATAGAACTTAGACGTCATCCCTATTCATTAGGCTTATATTTTCTCAATAACCTAATTTTGTCTTTCATACGATATTAAGCTTTTGGAAGTCTTACTCTTAATCCTATTAATTCCTAAGCTAGACTTTAAAAGTGCATGAGGAAATATGCAAAGGCAGTCAATTTCACTGAATTTACACACTGAATTGCTAAAGATGAATCTAGGAATTTCAGGGTTGCTAAAATGCAGAACTTCAACCGAAAATATTTTCCGGACATCAACGAAACTCTGGGGCATGGTCTGGATGGGATTCTTTGGCTTCACAGCCTTCTGAACTGAGGTCATTGGTAATATACCAGGATGCACATGTTAGCAGGGCAAAGTGTGTCTATGTCTGCTTTGGACCAAAGCCTTATTCCTAAAAGAAGTGTAGCACTGGCTCAGCCAACAGTGGTACCATGTGTTGCTTTGACTGCTGTAATGAATCTTTGATGATCAAGCTTGGAAAGAGAGCTAAACTCAAGACAATGCAGTAGCTGGGGCATAAAATGAAGTGATGTTGAGTGTGCCCCCAAGAAGAGAAGAAACAGAGTTTGAAACTCACAGACTATCCAGGTGGTAGAAACAGATTTCAAAAATACTCTCATTCCAGACAAGATGTCTCCCAACTCTGAGCTAGTTAGGTGAATATGAGACCAGAACCACATTCTAAGGTTTACAAAAATCACCTGTCTACATAATCCTATTTTCACTCTGAGTAAGCATGCTACTTTATCTTCATCAATGACTGCGGACTGATTTTAATAACATAAAAAAGCAATCCAACTTTCCTATCCTGCTTCCTGTGCCCCACACCACCCACTCAAGGGATGGCATGCTTCTTTGAATTAGACTTCTTCGATCAATTAATTCTCTTCAGTTCTTGAATGACCTTCCAACAGAATTAACTAATGGCATAGGGTGAGAAAGGGGTAAGCCCTATATTTTATATATTCGGAGAATATCATTGTTCCCAGAAATGTCCCTGACAGCTGCCCACACAAGAGCCCAAGACAGTGGCATGCTCTCTGGGCTGGCTGGACAGTAATAGCTGTCACTGCCATGACAATAGCCAGTCCCTGTACTGCTGTCTGATCTCCACCACATGACATTGCTGGCTGGTCTATAATTGCTTTAAGTGGACAGTTTCTTCCTGAGATAATGACTACAAAATCATTAGGATTTAACATCATAATTACAGGAAAAGTCAAGGAAGGTGATCAAGAATGGGGAGGGAGACATGAACTAAAACTTAATTCTGACAGAGGGAAGAAGAAAAAAAGAGAAAAAATAGGATGGGGAGGGGAAGAGACCCTGGTAAATTTGTTTTCATTGTATATTTGTGCAGAATAAGGTAAAAGGCAAAGCATTCTTCCTTTTTCCATGTAATGCATGTGAACTTGGTAATAAGTTTTACTATCAGATGAAAGTGGATCCATGGATAAAATACAGTCGGCCTCGATATCCTAGGGTTCTGCATCTGCATATTCAATCAAATGCAGATTGAAAAGAATATATATAATATCCTTGGGATGCAAAACCCATGGATCTGGAGGACTGGCTTTTTGGATTCTCAGGTTCCACAGGGCTCACTCCGGGACTTGGACATATGCTGGGGTCCTGGAACCAATCCCCTAGAATACCGAGGGACAACCGTACTTCGTCTCTTTCTGGCATTTCTCAGGGCTGGGGAGTTCCTTTGGCTTTCTGATTGAGTTGGGAGCATAGTATCTGGCATGGAGTCCAAGAAGGAAGGGGAAAGCCCTGGCACAGAGCTGATGCTCACCTCGTATTCCTCCTTGAAGCCGTAGCCCTCGGCACACTTCATCTGTGTGATGTGCTGAAGGAGGTCTGCCACCCGGATGGCGGGGTGGAGCTGCCCGGTCTGATAGGGCACGTCGGCCGCCTCCCGCTTCTTGTAAGTATGGGACTGCACCAAGCTGCTGGTATCGCTGGCCATCGTGTGGGTTTCATCTAGGAAAAGAAGGCCAGGGAGAAAATGAGGGAGAGCCAGGGAGCTATGTCGGCATCACTGAGAATGCTAAGAAGCTGGCTCCTGGCATCCCCTCACCTAGGGCTGTAAAATTCCCTATGATGGCTCAGCAAAAAAGAAAAGTTAAATGTTTAGAAATTTAAATGGGGTTGGCAATACTCATAGGAATGTGCAGAAATCTTTCTTTTACAAAGCAGTCCAAACGATATATTGCTTTCACAAAGCTAACTGAGAAGAGCCCTTTAGCCTTCCAGTGCTAAAGTCTGTTAAAGTTTCAACCTGAAACTTCATCAAGACCTGGTGCAAAACCAGCCTTGTATTCTTTGAAACGTTAGTTCAGTAGTTCGTATGATGACATAAATAAACTCTGCACAAATGTTCTGTGAGCAAAATAAAAGTGCACAAAATGGTGTGGCTTATAAAGCTAGCAATGGAAATGTGGACTTAATACATGAAATCAAAGAAGAGTGGAAAAATAAAAGGGAACCTGGTGGGGATAATGTTTTGATGAATCACTTTGCATGCTCTGGTATCAGAAAGCTTGACAAAATGTTGTGGACCAACACATCACACATGGAATGTTCTACAAAGGCAAACATGCAGGCCAGCACAGAGCAGCACCAGCTGGCTTCGTCAGAATCTACCAGTAAGACACACACTCCCACTCCCTCCACAACTCTTCCATGGGGCGAATCGGGGAACTTACCATTTATTGGCACTTTTAAGAAGATACATATCAGGAGAAAAAAGGAGGAGAAAAAGGAAACAGGGCATAAGCAATAGTACTGCGTGCATAATTACAGGTAGTTTTTATTTTATGCTTTAACTTTCCAGTTAAGTTTTCTATTCAGAGGTGGTCAGAGGGCGAAGCCTCAATTCTTCCATCACGTTAGGATGGAAGCATTGAATTTAAGTACTCAATAACAAAAAGGAGGTTAAAATTAGCATCATAATTGCTTTTCATCCCCCATGAACCAAGTAATGTCTAAATAAGTCTTATTTGTATTCAACACAATTTCTCATTTAAATTTCTTGAACAAGTCAACCAAATTGTACTATAAAATTAATGTCAAAATTTGGTCAAATAAGCCTAAAGAGGCTCTATTTTAATGGATGCCTACTAGAAAATTAGGTTAATGAACTGCAGAAATGGTACCTATTAAAAATGTCTTATGCAGGGAAATGCTATTAGATTAAGAATTCCATATTCTACAGGTTAACTCATTATAATGCTGAATCCCTTTAGCAGTTTTATGATTGAGGATGGGTGTTGTCAAAATATAATGCTAAAGTCACTTAAAATGAGAATGTTATATAAAACATATAAAAGATATATTCAAGTTTTAAAAGTTACCAGATTGTATATCAATAGGGAATTCAGCTATAGTTATTCATATGTTATTTATTTTTTACTGAGAAGTTCAGCTCTGAAGAAAATTTAGTCCAAGGGTGCTTGATTAGCAGGGCCTGGTTTTGAAACCTCACTTCTATCTGCATCGCAAAGCACCTGGGGATGCATGGTATGAAAGGTGGTACACAAGTGTGTAGCTATGTTGCTGTTGCTGAAATGGCACCTGGATCACTACAACGTGGCTAAAGACACAAAGACAAAATAAAAAAGGGTGGTAAGTTGATTTTATGATTTTTGTTTCATTTGGATTTGCTTTGAAATTTAGCAATTCATATGTTCCCATTTTAATAGTTACAAATAAACCTGGAAATTTTCACATCAGATTTGCTTGCTGGCAACTGCCAAGCTTTATAAACTGGGATACAGGAACCCTGCTGAAGTACTGAATCTCTTGAGCTTTGAGCTACTCCAGCAGCAAGTTCTGTTCTTTATACTAAAATAAATGGAACATTAATTAGTTTCCCCTCTGTGCCTCTCTCGTTCTCTCAGTTTTGTATCTTATGGGATGAACATAATTAACATGCCCTCCATGGTGGGTTGACCTTCTAAACTTCCCATAAATGATTTGGGTGCTTCACGTGGACACGCCAGCATCCTAGCAATGCTCTGATCCCAGGGCTACGTATTCTTGGAAGTTTTAGATCCACAGAGCTACAACCACTCTCACTGTTGTATGTAATGATCCTGTGCTGCGTTATGCCATCTTGGCCTCATTACTAGCGTGGAACACATCTTCAAGCATTTAAACACTACCAAGTCCCTGAAAGAAGAGCCCTATTATCTAGTACATGCATATGGAAGACGGAATAGAAGGCTTCTTGTGTGCTGCTATGAAATTGGGTCACTTATACTACTAGACATTCTTGATTCCACTAAAATTAGTAATTACTTTTCTCTAACTTAAAAAAGAATTATTATTGATAAAATATATTATTGGTCATTAATTTCCATTATGTGTTTAAAAATTACCCATCAACAATTTTTTTTTCTATTTTTTTTTTTTTTAAGAGACAGGGTCTTTCTCCATCCTCCAGGTTGGAGGGCAGTGGCTCTGTCATAGCTTACTGCAGCCCCAAACTCCTGGGCTCCAGCAATCCTCCTGCCACAGCCTCTTGAGTAGCTGGGAATACAGATGCATTCCATCATGCCGGCTAATTTTTTATGATTATTATTTTTTGAAGAGATGGGGGTCTCCCTATGTTGTCGAGGCTGGCCTTGAACTCCTGGCATCAAGCGACCTTCCCGCGTTGGCCTCCCAAAGTGCTGGGATTACATGCTTGCACCATAGTGTCCAGCCTCAACATTTTTTTAAAATTAAAAATAATGCAGAAGAGCACATTAGAAATAAAGCTTCTCACTAATAGTTCTGATGGTTTTCTAAGAACTGAAAATTAATTCTACCTATATTCTTTATGAATTATCTTGAATTTTTAACAAACTAGCTGGAAAACCTTATGTTGAAACGGATGCAATATTTTTGAGGTAGGGTAGGTTGTATCTGTCTGTCTATCCATCCATCCATCCAGTCAGCGAGCCAGCTATCCATCCATCCATTTAATCATCTATATTTTTACAAGCAAATGAAATAAAGATATACTCCAGCTCTATACATTAGGGCTGGGCACCTTAGCACGAGAAAGGTAAAGCTGAAGGTGCTAGAGAATTTAACTGTGCTGAGCTCTGACTCACAGCAAAACATTTCTTCTTGTCTTCGCGTAAATTATAACTGCTACTATCCCCCAAAGCTGCCAGAGTAGATACGTATCTTATATTCTTCCCTGGTTTCAAGTGCTAACCTCACCAATCCTTATTACTCAATATGTAGATTCACATTTGCACCAAGTAACATGTAAGGAATGCAGTTCCCAAGTACCGCCATTTGGTATCTATATAAGCTATACATGATAACAGTTATTGGTCTATCTGGGTGACTTATTTTTTACAATGCGCATCATTTTTGCTACTTGAATTGTCATCCAAGTGATTCCCTTTCAGTAAAGAAACCTAATCAACTTTAAAAGATGTAATTAATGTTCATAATAACAAAGCAGCGACTTTAAAGAATATTTGTTTAATAAGCTTATCTTAATCCTGCTGTGAAATCTGAACATTTTCTTCCTTCTGACAATGCACATCTTAGTCCTCCCCACTCACAGCTCCCCCAAGGTCAGAAAATCTACTAGAGGAGCCTCAGAATGAATGCCACAGCACATAAAGAAATCGCAAATCTTCGCCTATCAAAAGATTCTGCAAATGTCATTTGCATGTAGATTACATTGTTCTGGTGCCTAAGATTAGCCTGTGCCCCTCACTTATGAAAGGAATAAAATGCAGTTTTCTTTCCCTTTTAATTGGTATTGAAAGTGTGTGTGTGGGGAGGGTTTAGTGGGCTTTGTTAGCCCTCAGAATGATGCCAAATTTAAAAACTCTGTTTTATATCCATTCTTAAACTTCCTAATTCATTTTTTCCATAGGCAACAAACTTACTTAAGCCCACAGAACACCATTAGGAAAATAAAAATTACCTTCTATACAAAAATCGTAACAACTTAGAGAAAAGAGAAGCAGAGGGGGAAAAAATTATGTTGCAAAGATATAAACCCTTGTCAAGTGAATTAGGAAGGAGAAGTCGAACAATTGAGGATGGAACTCTTGCTGCAATGAATTGTTATATACCTTGAAGTCGTTTTTGTTGTGCTCCTTTTCGGAAAGGTTAGTAGTAGAAAGAGAACACAGCCGTGATACACTCGGGTTATTTATGCGTCTCAAATGCAACAGCAGCTCATGCTTGTTTGGTTATCACAGCCAGGCAATGCCATTTTTCTCCTCGCCCTTCTTATATTGGACAAACGGGATTTTTTTCTGTAACCCCCTGCTGGGAATATTTCATACTTTAAATGCATTCTGCCCCACCAGGTTAACATCTTAGTTCACTCCTAGTGGCATCTGACACATAATAAACCGTATGATTATAAGTGCCATCTTGTCATTTTGCTGTTCAGATCATCAGCTCCTTTGAAATTCCGCTGTGTGACAGACACTTTGGAAGCTGGGGGGCGGGGGGGCGGGTACCCTGAGTGGCACTGAGGATGAGTAGGGGGCCAAAATTCCATTGTGATCATCTTTCTGCATAACATTTGGCATAATTAGAAAAATGCTATTTTTAAAATTGAAGTTTTTAGTGCTTAGCAATAAGTGAAAATAATGAGAAGCTATTTTCACTTTTATGACTATCACATTAGACAGAATTCAGCTCTTGGAAAGTACACAGCTGAGTGGTGACACCTTGTTTTTTTCCCCTGGGATCAGACCTAACTTTAAGTTCTGGACACAGAAAGGGAGAATACTGGAGCTGAGAGTGTTCATTTGAAGCTGTTGGTATCATCCCCAAAACACATGCAGCAAATCCCTCATTAATGGTGACTGTTTAGAGAAGTCTTTTCTTCCTTTAACTCCATGACCCAGGCCACCCACCTCCCCCGTGTAGTGCTTATAATCACTGCATTATACAGAATTAAAACTCCAATCTCCTACAGAGTGGTCACTGACTTTCTAAGTTACTCCTGCAATAAACTGTGGTAAAGGGAAATGTTCTCACCTAAAATTGCAGTTGGCACAAATGGGTCTGTCATACACCGTAAGCAGGTCAATGCAGAGAAAGTAAAAAGAGAAAGAACAGTAAATGATTGATGAATGCCCACCCCTGTTTTCCGCATAGAAAGCTGTAGAAAAGCATTGGGTTACAACATCTCAAACACAGTAAGCCCCTCAAGCACCAGGGATAGCAGAGAGAGGGCGGAGTGAATCTGACTGCTGAGGAGAGAGCAGAGAGGAGACAGTGGAAAAATCTGTTACCTGGGTAATAGGAATTAGGCACCGACGTGCTCAGTGTATTTGTTTTCATTGTGAAGGATGATGGTGAAGACACAGCTGTAAACAAGAGAGAGGCTGGTCAGGGGCAGCAGACAGGTAACACACTCTGAACACACAATGCTCTGAGACCACCCATGGTGACTCCATGCTAGCTAGGGTGACTCTGGGACTCACTGATGTCTATGTGGGAAATATCATCATTCCCAGATGTTTCTCAGTACTTACTTGTCCTTTAGAAGACAAGCAACCTTTTGCAACTTAAAGACTTTTCTTACCCCACAGATAAAGAGAAAGCCCACAACCACAGCCACCATTTTGGATAGAGAAATTCATCAGACTTCTGTTTTGACTTCTGCCCTTTGCTTATAGAAATCTGCTCTCAGGCCAAGCTGAATTTTACAAGTAAAAGTAGAAGAATGTGTCTACACATGGCTTTTGGAGACTATTCCCAATGTTAATGTTCCCGTAGTTTGCTAAATCCTCTCCTTGCTCATATTTGGATATGCAGAGAACACTCCACAATGCTTTATGAAAAATAAAGGTGGTGCTCCATGCGTGTTCTTTAGTCTTTTAAATCCTTACAAAAATGCTTTTCTTTAAAATATTCCTCTGAAACATTCAAGACTGAATTATTGCACCTCCTCTTCCTCCCTTTTATCAAGCAGGACAGTCAATCCCATCCAATTTATCTGATTTCATTAAAAATGGATATTTCCTATTTTTAAGAGACATTTTAAAACTCTCTTCATGGCTGACAGAGCCTTGGTAGAATAAATGCTTTTTTAAGTAAAAAAAAATCCTCTTCAAATGTATTAACTGATTAGTCTTTTTAAAACAGTTTAATTTCATTAAAGTATAAAGACTTGAAAGTTGCTCAAGGTGGTTAAACTTAAGTCTAAATCGTAACTCCTCTGATGTAGTTACATGATCTATTTGATGCTGAGTTCCTGATCAGGACACTAAAACACAATTATACCATTATATTTATGGGAAGCATGACCAAATCCCTGTGCATACTGGGTAATTATTCCGATGACATATTAATATATTTTAACTCTCCAGGAGCAGTCCATTTAGGACAGTGCATTTACCTGTGTTTATATTTTTAAAGTGTAGAATCAGTACATGACAGAACAAGGACCAGAACTCAGGCTGCCTGCCATTTTACAGGTATTTTTATAAAATAGAAATGTATCATACTTATGATGCATGTTTATGGTAAGAAGCCTGGAAAAAGAGCACAATGGATGAAAGTAAGAATGAAAAAAATGAGTATCAATAAAATATGCCAGGGTCAGTGAGAATAAAGCCTTTTTATTACCTGCAGACATTTTTATGTGGTTGGTAAAGATGTGCACAGCAGATATAAAATAACTGTGTTTATTTTCACCTTCCAGTTAAAATATTTTAAAAATACTTTCATCTTCTAGCATAAAAATTAAACCCATTCCCACTGTCTGTATCTATTCTCCCCTTTTTACAGCATATTAAAGCAGATAGTGCAACTCATACTTGCTTTGCTGGAGAGATTAATCCCCACTCTCAAAACTGTGGTCATGCTTATTTTTAAATTCTCCTATTTCATTTTTCCCCTTGTCTCATTTCTACAAACTGCTCACTTCACAACTTCCAGCACTTTCTCCCAACCCCGAAAGATCTCATGCATACCTATACTTGTCATAGGTGTGGTGCTGGCAGCCTGGTGGTCTAAGGAACATGTTTCCTGAAGTTTTCCTCCCCAGAAACTGCTGTCTTATTTCAAAGACATTAAGAGAGTATTACGGTATCTACCTCTAGGGTTGCTCCCGACAGATGAGAACTGATGAGATCTTATTGCTTAGAGTGGGAGGAAAATGGAAAGTCTACTGCTGTGTTCCTTCTGTTGGCTTTACTGAAGGGAGGCAAAAAATAACGTCTAATAGCCAATCAGCTGTGGAAGCTCCATTGGCCTCTGTAGCAGTCCTCTGTACATGAACATTTTTGGATTTCCACACATACATTCACTTTCAAAAACATAACTGCCAAATTAAACTTCCTGTCCAGAAGTGAATATTCTCTGCTGTTCAAACTTCTAACACCTAGAACAACTAAAGAAGATTCTTGCTTTTGGGGTGAGTGATTCCAAGTAAATTGATTCTTGAGGAATTTTACCATGAAATAGAAGATTTGGAACATTAATGAGTTATACTGGAAAATGAGAACGTATCTGTGTGGTCCCTTTCTAGGAATACCTGCTACTACAAATATTCTAATCCTGCGTTGTGGTCAAAAGGGCTTCTCCAGTTCCAGCTCACAACAAATACATTATAGGTTGCTTTCTTATGGCAGTTGAATAAATTATACATATGTATTTTTAAATGAAAAACATAGTATCTGCTACAAAAAAGCAGAGAGAATTCTATGAAAAAATGGGAAGGAGCTTGGGTACACTGAGACCCCACAGCTTCTACTGCCTGCACTGAAAATGACAAGAAACAGTAAAGAAAGAAGGCCAAGGATGAAAGCAACACTGCTGCCCTGCCCATTGGTGCCAAAGCAGCACCTGTGCGTGCTCCACTGGGCCGTGTGTGCGTGTAGTACAAACTGATGTAGGAGGATAACGTGGGACAACTGCAGCCACTACAAGCAGAAAAATATGAGACTGAATTCGGAGACCGAATTAGCAGTGTGTAGGAGAAACACAAAGCTCAGGAACAGGCACGTGCGTTGACCACGCTGTGATCTGGAAGAGGAGTGGAAGGGAGCTGCAGTACCACACTGACCACAGTGGGTATCAGGACACAAGCCCACACTGTCCAAACTGCTCCTAGTCGCCCCACCCCAGATGCCACTTCTGTGCTCCTCACAGCCACAAGGCCCACCAGCCTTTATGAATATTATGACCATTTTTTGGTAACAGGAATAGCTACACTTTAATTCCATCTCCATGCTGACCAGAATCCTGGCTATGCAGCTCAGACCTGAGGCACAGATTTCACACAGTAAAGAAACCCCCGACCTTGAGCTCGCCAAAGTGTCCCCTAAACCACAGAGTGAGGAGCCTCCCTCTGGTCTCCAAGAAGATTACCAGGGACAAAGCAACTACTCCTTTTGTGCTTGATATAATCAATCTAATTGCTAGTTTCCTAAAATAATGCCTTCTACCTGGATCACAGGTACGGGAAGGCAGTAGCTGAGGTTGGTTTACACACCTGGTGTGAAGTATAAGGCTTGTGAAGCTGAAATACAGTTTAATTAATTAATTGCCACTAACAGCCCTATAATAAAGGCAGAACCTGTCAGCTAAACAAATAAACAATCAACTTGCTACTGCCATTTGATGAACTGTTTTTATAACAGGCTTCCCGTGTGTAATTCCACAGCTGGAGAGTTTACAAATGGGATCTAAACAAGAAGAAGGATGATGAGAAGCAGGTGCCTTCTTCCTCAAAAGAAGGAAATCTTGCAAAACCAAGGAGAGGTATTAAAAGCCAAGAAGCATGTACACTTACATCTCCCATTCAGATTGTGCGTGTCCATGAATGAGAAAGCCTCGTCGCAGTTTGTGCCCTGCTCGGCGTAGCTCTTGTCCATTGAGTTCACCATCACAGTCATCTCCTGTCGGGTGCTGCTCATGGTCTCTTTCCGCTTCTTGGCCAGTTTCCTTAGGATAAAGAATTCAATTATGTAGGCATGCATTTGAATGGGATACGGAGCTTTGGCATGTATACGGACAGATGTTCAGGAATAACATCTACTGAATTAATCCTGTTCATTCAGAGATGGATGTATGGTGCCTTATTTGTAGCAAGCGTTCTGCCACGTTGCAGACAGAGACGAAAGATAGGTACTGTCTATCCTCAAAGAACAAAACAAAACAAAACACCCCAAACAACCAGAAAGATAAAACGCCACAGCCTAAAACATTGTGTCTCCTATTATAAGCTAGATTAAAATGACCCATGATTCTAGTACAACACAATCATAATCTGCTAATTGTTACACTCCTGGAGTTATTAAGTTTTTATGAAATCATTGTCAACATCATCATATACAGTGTCAAAGAGAAGACTCCCCTGAGTAAATATTTTCCAAGCAAACATGAAATAACAGATGAATCTCAAAGGCACATTGTTAAAACTAAAGAACAGAACTAGGGTGAGGAGTCAAGAATGTAGAATTGGAGTATGTGCATACAGGGAGCAGAACCTGACACAGAGCCTACAAAGCTCAGAGAGCTCAGGCCGCAGGAGGATCGAAGGGAAGGTACTGAATTCTCAAAAGGCTGTTACCCTGTCCCAAATCCCAAATGAACCCAGATTAGTTCCCATCAAGCTTTGTCAACCCCCACAGAGCAGAAGGTTAAAAAACGTCGTGTTGCTGGGTTCCCTGGAAAGTTCAGCAGGAATGAGACTTCATTGTTCCCTCTTTCGGTGGAAGAGAATGAAGAAAAGGCAGAGAGATTTCCAATTCTTTTGGAGACATAGGTTAATCCTGGCCTCTGCATCCTGCTCACTGACCACCAAAAACTCAACATGTAAAATTACTGACACCTGTACAAAAGCCGGAAGACCTTAAGGGAAACTAACATAAATAAACAGATCACACGAATTTTTATAGATCTTGCTACCAGACATTGTTTTATGTACCCAAGACAGAGAAGATTAGAATTAGAGACGCTTACGGAGAAGGTATATAGTGAGAATGTTTAAGAACACCCACAGCACCATAATACCAAAAATACCATGCTCTAAAATATTCTAATTGTGCCCAAGCACCTAACAGCATCTACGAAAGAAAACCGCACCTCCTTCTAGTAAATCATCTAGACACTGATTGACCTAGGATACAGAATTTAAAATGAGCCACATAATCAAAATCACACCCATATTAGGTGATTACTAATGCAATGTAAGGCACTGACAACATAAGACCATATGGATAATCTTTATTATCATTTCTAAATGACACATAATCCAAATGCTTTCTTGCCTGTAGTTACAATAATATTTTAATTTCATACTTTGAAGGCAGAAGGGTTTCATTAATAAGTTGCCTTTTTATTGCTAAAAGTTGTTGGAAAAAAGATACATTTTTAAACAGAAAAAATGAAAATCACTTATAACATCTCTGACAGTGTTAAAGTTACAAAGATTTTGAAGGGTGAGCCAGCGTGACTCCTCTGGGCACTGACACCCCCCTCTCTTGCCTCGTGGGGATCATGATCATCCCTTCTAGAGCCTCTCTCCTCCAAGCTAGCCATGCTAGTTGAGCCTGGATGTTCTCAACACGTGTTCTGGACAGGGGCAGCATCGGACTCCGACTCCATAGCCGCACTTACAATAATACATTTTCTCTTCACTTCTGAATCTGCCAGATCACTGGAAAAACATTCTCAGGCCAGGTCTCCTCAGGAACACTCAAGTGGAGGACTGAGAGAATTAGCTCCATAATTCAGGCAAAATGCCTTCTTTTTGCTTGAATTTCTTTGAATTGCTTTGGATTGATTTATGCCAGTAATTGCCTCAATATTCTTTTTTGTTCTGTCTATAAAAAGAAGCATTGTGAACTTTACTAGGTTTTCCTCTTTGCCTTTTCTTGCTTGAATTCCTATAATCCTAAAGGTTAGGAAATGACAGGTACTGTGCTTCTTGTGTGGGTGGCTGGGAGGGATACATGTGCCAATAAAAGCTATGCTTGTACTGGGAAAAATCTTTCTCCTTTCTAATCCTCCACATGCATAAACTAATTTCAGTGATGTCACACTAATCACTTCATTGCTGATCTTTAAGTACAAAAGAAGCCCGTAAAGACTGTGAGAGAATGCTCAAATCAAACAAAGGTCCAGGCAGACACAGCAGCTTTAAGCTCATATCCACAGGACATACTGTATGTCTGTGAACCACCTTCTAAACTCAGTTCTCAGTGTCTTCTGCAAGCCTTCTTGCATTAACCCTACACATTAGACACCTTTTTACTTTCAGCAGATGTCACAAACACGAATGTCTCCCTGGGACCAGGCAAGTAATGTAAGTGGAGGAAGCCCGTGTAAGACAGTGAGGCGTTGTGGAGAGCTGGAGGGGAACAGTAACTCAGCTCCTGCACACTGATGCCCCAGGGAAGTCCAAGTCGTTTCAAGTTTCAGGAGAAACTAGACCAGACTTTTTATCAACTCTTAATTTTCACGTGTTGTCAAATAATTCAAATTTAAAAATAAATCACTACATAGCCCAAATAAAACACGTTTGTGGGCAGTTTTGTTTTCCACCAATAACAGCACTTTGGAAATGCCATTGTATTGGAATTGAAGGAAGTTACAACTTACAATATAATTATCACCAAATTGCTTAATTTTTAATTTAAACTTTTAAATTTTTGTTGAGACAGTCTCATTTTGTCATCCCAGGCTGGAATGCAGTGGCACCATCTTGACTGACTGTAGTCTCCGCCTCCCAAGTTCAAGTGATTCTCATGCCTCAGCCTAACAAGTAGTTGGGACTACAGGCGTGAGCCACCACACTCAGCTAATTTTTTTGTTTTTTTTGGATTTTTTTTGTATTTTTAGTAGAGGCGGGGTTTCGCCATGTTGGCCAGGCTGGTCTCAAACTCCCGACCTCAGGTGATCCACTTGCCTCAGCCTCCCAAAGTGCTGGGATTATAGGCGTGAGCCACCAGGCCTGGCCACCAAATTGTTTTCAAATACGCGTCATCTGCCACCCCCAAATTCAATATGCTTTGAAAAACTTTACTAGTGCCTAGCCAACGCTTTACACAAAGCTGTTGACACAGGGACAGAAAGTGAGCACGTGCTGTAGGAAAAATGATGCTGACAGACCTGCTCCATGCGGGCTGCCACAAACTTTCAGTTTATAAAAAATACAATATACGCAAAAGAGCCATAAAGTGAAGCACAATAAATCAACGTATGCCTGTACAGGTCAAATACCCTTGTCCATAACTACAGATGGCTGAAAAGGGTTATATCAAGAAAGAGACTCAGTTAGGACTGTGGATAAATAACAGTTTGTTTCTCTCTTTTTCTTTCTCCTTGTTTTGAGCCTCGTGTTTCAGATGCTACTTTTTTCAAGTGAAAACCTGGAACACTATCAGCTTTGGGAACTTAATGAAATAAAGTCTTTTGCGTAGGAAAACTACAGTTGAAACAATTTTCTTTGCAATCTTATGTAAGGACACAAGTAAATTTACTTTCCATTTTGATTTACAACAAATGGTTTGCCTAAAATATTTTAATTTCCAATATCCAAACCTGCACTGCATGAATCTCAAAGGCCCTTAGTAATTAAAATAAATTAAAGGTTGTTACCAATGTCTATAAACAGACCACAAAAAAATTACAGAAAGGACTTGGTGGTTTCTAGTCTGGCCTGAAAGGAGCTTAGAAGTCGTAACTTTTTCCTAACAGTAAGTCAAAGCTGAAAAAACTGAAAATTAACAAATTTTCTTAGATGTGTTGGAGAACTGAGGTCACAGGACAAACTACTGCCCCTCAGATTGGAGAGACCAAAAGGTAAATACAGAGAATCACAACTTACTGGAGCTGAACTTCACGAGCAGAAACCTCTGTGAGAGCCAGAACCTGGCTAGGAAAATCTAAACTGTAGCTGACAAACTGCTGGAGCTCAGTGTGGACATGTCTCAGAGGTAAAAACTCCGGGGGAATAAGTTTCAAGGGGGCCCACACATTTTTTTGTGAGTTTTACCTCCAGGACCCCTACCAAGTTTTCACAGAGATTTGAGACAAATCCCCTCAGGCCGCCAGCAAGAAGCAGTGGAAAGCACTTTGAAATACGTCAGCACGTTTATTCTGTTCTTAACAAAGCCTGCTCTTAAGAGAAGCTATGTTTACCAGCACCTAACCTGCCAGAGTTTTGTCAGAGCCTAACTGACCTGGGGGAAGAAATACAACTCCAACCCACATTAGCCATCCTATTCCAACTAACGGTGGGGGAGAGGGATACTGAGAAGTATTTGTGAAGTCCGCAGTCCAGAGGCACAGGTTCACTATAGACTAAGACCTAATCATGTGACTGTAGAGCGCCTCCCCCACCCCCACACCTTACACCATTTTACTAAAGGCCTATTTACCACAGTTCCTGTTACTCAGTACATCATGTGTAGCTTCACGAACAAAAACACAAAACAGTGCGAAGAGACACAGCAAACAACAGAACCAGACTCTTGATATGGCAGAGGGGTTGGAATTAACAGAGTGGGAATTTAAAACAACCACGATTAGTACGCTAAGAGTGCTAACGTCTAATGAATAAAGTAGACAGCATGCAAGAACAGATAGGTAACATAAGCAGAGAGATGGAAATTCTAAGAAAACCAAAAAAGAAATGCTACAGACAAAAAACGCAGTAATAGAAATGAAAACGCCTGTGACAGTTCATTAGCAGACTGGAAATGGTGGAGAAAAGAATCTCTGTGCTTGCAGATGATCTCAGTAAAAACCTCCGAAACTGAAAAGCAAGAGAAAAAAGACAGACAAACAAAAAGCAGAACAAAAGCACACACAACATCAGAATATCCCCAAACCATGAGACAACTACAAAAGGTGCAACTTACACGTAATGGGAATAGAAGAAGGAGAAGAGAGAAAGGAACAGAAGAAATATTTGAAGCAATAATAACTGTTTCCTC